CTGGGTTGTTTCAACCCAACTTTGGGTCAAATATGGACTAACCCAACTTTTGGGTTAAAAATTTAATGTAAAAATTTAACCCAACGGTTGGGTTAGTCCATATTTGACCCAAAGTTGGGTTGAAACAACCCAGCATTTTTAGAGTGTACCTTTAATACCTCAATCACTGTCTCTCTTCAGCTCTTCCTGATCTGGGTCTGTCTCCAGGTGTTATAGTTGGGATATCTGCTGCTGTTCTGCTGTTTTTGACTGCAGTTGTAGCTGTTGTTGTGAATTACTATCGCAGCAAGATCTCTGAACTAAAAAAGCAAGTGGGTGAGTATTACAGCTGATAAAAGACAAAAAACAATGAGTGTTATTATAAGCTATTGTCAAAGTGGTTGCACTATAAGTAGGCTACTGCACGAAGATGAATAATCCAAAGGAACAGTCTTTAATTCAACACTCAGGAAAATGAATCACACAACACCTTAACATTATTGTCACAGACAGGACAAAGGAAATCAGAAACACAAGGAGTATATATACAAGACCAAACAAGGAACTATTGAGTTAATTGACCGTTTGCAGGGAGCTTGACTGACAGGCAATCTGACCAATCAGAACGCGGATATTATGTGCCGCCTTTGCTATCCGCCATCTTGTCCGACAGCTACAGCCGGACTCCATAAATCCATGTCAAAACGGGGTTAAAAAAAGATCGACTGAATTTAAACTTTTTCAATATAACTAAATATAAAAATGTGCGGAGGGTTAAGCTGTGCTGTTGTTGGCTGCCACAGTAACGACAATAAGCTAAGAAATTCCTTTAAAGTACTTGTTTTGCATACCAGAAAATCTATCGTGTCCGGCGCTGTATGCATGGTATGCATGGCCCCTCTAAAACCAGCCTTATGACCAGCTAAGACCAGGCTGGTTGACCAGCTGGTTTTAGCTGTTTTTTTTTCAGCAGGGCTGTTTTCAATGCAGCCAACGTTGCATGTCATCTTCCCACTCATTAAACTACAACAGGTCATTTACTGCAAAAACACAGTCATTGTGACACTGTAAAGTGATGAAACTATGGTGCCATGTGCTTTTTAAAACATTTTCATAGGTTTCACGTTATTGGCTAGGAAAATATGTAAATGCGCATGCCCAGTATACGGCAGCTGTATCCCTTCTAGCCTTAACCACAAATCAGACAGGAGAGTAGATTAACTTCGGTGGATTTAAAGGGGTCATATGTTGCTGCTAAAAAGAACATTATTTTGTGTATTTGGTGTAATGAAATGTGTTTATGCAGTTTAAGGTTAAAAAAACACATTATTTTCCACAT